GTCAAAATAAGACTTCGTCGTTTGAGCCTGTGTAGTTTTTGCCCCGCAACGAAACAGGTCAGAATTTTGTTTCTACGTTTCATCATGAATATATCATTAACAAAGAATGATTGTTCTGCAAAGACAACGTAATGACCATGATGAGTTTATACTTGATTTTATTTGGAATAGTAGATATGTAGATTTAACATTCAATTTGTTTCAGCATATCTAAAGCATGTCCAAAATGATTGATGATGTTTATGACGTCATGTTGCTTTTGTTTATATTGTATCAACAGCTTGAATTATATTTCTAGTCGCTTCAAACATTTTGATACAAATTGGATTGTACTTGTAGAAATAAAATTCCATTGCAGTTCGTTTCACGATTTCTCTAATACTGAAGTAAATGGGTATCAGCAAAGAACAACAACAGGAAGGAGATGTAAAAATTATTTTTATTGCCGGAAAACTTCCAGTATTCAATTTTATATCATGAAATGTTTATCACAGATCTTAGTTGATTTGTTTTTATGTTATTTAAATGGAATGTCAGTATATATCAGATAAACACATCATTATTCAAATTATAATATTTAAAGCTAGAAGAACTTAAAATATTTTGACTTTTTGACATATATTTATCATCCATAACTAAGGGAGAAATGTCACCACTGTGATGTAAACGCATACTTAATACGTTCAACGCATCAATACTTAAAAAGCGATGTGTCCATTGAATGTCACACTTTCCTTGTTGATCTTTGTTAATATTTTTAAAAGTGTATGGCCATTATCATGTTAATAGGTTATATGCAATGCAAATATGTCGTTTCTGTCAGTTTAATGTAATAATATGTTTAATATATATTTTTTATAAGGTTGTATCATTTTAAATCAAAACATATCTTCATCTAATTTTTGAGCATTTTTATTTATTTCTCTTATTTAAGTGAAAGATGTGGTCATATTCTGATTGTAGTATCTGTGAATGTTATTATGTTAACATAATATCAATTACGCAATATGATTTTTATCAAAATTAAAAAGTATAAAATTCATATTAAGGACTGTGCCTCACATTAGCTTTTTTACATGCGAAATACTTTCAGTGACAGTACGAACGATGTTTAATATCTGATTGTATTATTTGTGAATGTGAAAGTTAGCATAACGGAAATTACATATTGCGATTTTAATCAAATGAAGGAAAAAATATAATCCATTGTTCACACGTCGTTTCATACATGTGAAACACTGCTAGTAGTTTTATGTGAGAGCCAATTGATTTTCGTTGTAACATGTAAAAACAACAATTATCTCCTGAAAATCATACATTTATAATACAATGAAATTACATTTCTTTGACAACTGACATTTCGTTATTGATCATAATAAATGTCATAAATTAAACAATAATGGTTCATCTAAATGACGTCAATTTATCTTACATTAACAGGTCAACAACCGATTATTTAAAATCCCTTAATTAGTCATTTTCATAGCACATGCTATGTATCTACGACAATCTTTTGTCCGGTAACCGTTGTTTAAGAATTTATGTGTCACTGTCCCAACCTAAAATGACATATTTCTTATTCTGATACCTGTCCTGAATTTCAGCAATATCCACCAGAAATACATGTATAGTTTTGTTGAGTTTAGGAGAAAATCCCGACAGCATATGAAGAACGTATCAAGAACTATAATTATATTTTAATAGTTTTACCTCGAGAGAATTAAGGAACAGAAAATTGTTGACTTTAACAGTTTGATATTTTATAACAGTGCATATGCAAAATATAAAGCTATGGCGATTTACTTGATTGTACAGAATCTAAAATATTCAAAAAGGGAAAAACTATACAACGAATTATCCCTTACATTTACCACTTAAATCTTATACAATAATGATATGCATTACAATGAATGTATGCTATAAGATGAACTGTGATGTTTACATTTTCCTATAGTCATGATGAGATCGACAGATGTATACGATCAGTTTCAAACTCTACAGAAAATTATGTAATAATGGACAATTGTAGCTTTCCAATCGTGTTCACAAATTTTGATACGTAAATTGGTCGTAAATACACTGTAAGATGTAATATTGTCATTTTTAGATGAATAGAAATAGGACTACAAAAAACAGTACTGCCTTTCATACATATGTGTTACCCAGATTTATTTAATTCTATGGAAGAGCCTCAGTCAAACTTTGCTGTTGATGTACAATAATAAATGAAGTGATGTTCACAAAAGTTCCATTCATGTCAGAATGAAATTTGTAATACTGAATAATGAAGTTATAGTTATTTTTAGATGATTGTACTTATATATCGACATTTATTCTGATTGTTCTGCATTTAAATACTGTTCAAATGTGAAAACAAATTTAAGACCCCAATACGATTCTATTACTTAAATCATGTGTTAGAGACTTTGTCAGAAGATAATAAGAATGCTTGCATAATTTTTACGTTATTAGTAACAAATGTGTGTGTTGACTAACACGAGAACAAAGGTCATTAAGGAAGTGGTGTGGTATTCAATGAATGCATCCCTCATAAAAAGACCAGCAACAGAAGACTACAGGCTAGGAGCCCAGAGGGGCACCGAAATAAAAGAAGAGGGCACAAGAGCGCTATAAAAAAACTTTTAGTAATTTAAAACAATTTAGATACTTAAACGATCGAAGTCACAACTTTGTTATCTAATGTCTGTTTCATTCTGCACTCACTGAAAATGCATCCATGTGTATAATCATCAAAGAGCGTTCTCGTGATTTGAATTAGCAAGAGTCTCTTTTATATCTTTCCTGAATGTGTGAAGATTTAATTAATGTTTACATACATTGTAAACAAACCCCACTTCTTGTGTTTTAATTAACACGTACGGTTTAGGTTTCATAATTTAATTATTGCACGAAAAAACATAATGCCATTTCAAAGGTTTTTAAAGAATATTAAAGCTTTAATTGTGTTTGTTATGTATTTTATTTTAACTATTTAAACGCAAAAATTGCAAAATATGTTAAATCGTGAATAAAGAATATGGTCGTGATAAATTATCATAAAAGCCAGGAAATGTATCGAAAAATAGAAACAACATGAGTGCAATTCAGCAATTCAATAATTACTTTCCTGCGCATCGGTCGAATGTTTCACTATTGTTGAACTGCAAAGGGAGCGAAACGAATATTTAGCGCAGGTTAATATAGAGATAATTAGAACAGACAAAAACACTAAAACTATAAGTTTATGATAAACTTTATCTTTGCTTTATTAAGAAAACATTATACAATGTAGTCAATAAACTTAACAAATATGCGGATATTTTTAATGCCTTTAGAAAAAATACTCCATGGTCATGCTTAAATTTTAAGTTGTATTAAAACCGGTGATTGAGAGGGGGGCGGAAGGTAAACTGCAAGTACTTATTTTAAAAAAAGCAGGCTCATTCACACAAAGCCTGCAACATTTTCGATTTTGTAGGAATGTGTTGTTTTTTTCCATTTTTCTTAATATTTAACTTTAGTCTGCAGAAGATGTTTATGTCCTTGCAAAAGAAATTAACCATTATTTTCGTATTAAAGTATGTAAAAAAGCAAGAAGTATAGGGGTATCATGCAACCACAACACTTGTTCCACAATGACAACATTATGAACTTAATGAGGTTTCTACTTGATTTAACTTAGAATTGTAGATAGCGCATTGCCATCAGTTTCAACACATCTATAACATGTCACAAATGATTGATGATGTTGTGACGTCATGTTGCGTTTCTTTAATTAAATGATCAGTTTGAGTTTTATTTTGAGGCGTTTGAATCGTATATTGATATATTGATGATAACTGTGATTGCTTTCACTTGCTGAAATGAATGTTTAATTGACACTCTTCGATATTCCGATAATAATATATTAATTCTGCAAGCATAAATATCATTTTCATCATCAACAACAACAAACAAACAATCATTAACAACAACAAACAAACAATCAAAAATCACACACACGCATAAAAACGCACACACAAACAAGCAAACAAAAACACAAAAAGAGGAAAAACGACATGAACATTAAAACAAAGGAGAAGGTGAGATGTGTTTGTATATGAATATTGCATTGTATTCTAAATTAGGTGTGCTGTTTAATCATATACTGAAAATGCAAAAGTTTTCTTACATTGAACTGGTCTATTATGGAAGTATTGAAATTCTTTACATATTGCATATTTACGTCGATAATATTTAGTACCAGACATAACAATAAACCGCGGAAGAATTATACATAGAGGTTCTTGATAAATGTGTGATAAACGATCTGATATTACAAAATATTTTAGTGTAGCACATATTAAAAATGCTCTAGAACAAATTTCTATCATTCATCATATAAATATTCGGTGTTAGATATTTTAAAGTTGGGTATATTATTTTAGTATTGCAAGAGAACAATATAATCAATTAGGGATCTAGTTTATTTTTATCATTTTAACACAGCTACACAACTGGAGACGGCAGTATACATGAAACAACATATTCTTAAACCAATTATTGTACAGTTGACATATAAATAATTACATAATCAAATACCATGCCCTAAGGGAAGTGATAGTAAAGATCCCGAATAAAGGGGCCTTGCATTTTATAGGCAAAATATCAAAGATAATGTTGTTTATAAACTTTTCTCATACTCTTTGGCTCCAGATAATTGATAATCTGGCATAATGTGTAAATGTACGAAATTGTATGGCAATTTAATTTTAGACGAGCACAAATAAGAAAACTTGATAAAACACAATTCTAATTCTTAAAGGAGCTTCACCAAGGCAATAAAGCTTAAAAATATACAAATTTAAAAATGTAACAAAATCAATTAGGGGAAATTAAAACGAAAAATATCACAAAAAAATAAAGATACATATGCAGAATTAAATTGAAAATCTGTATTTATTGCGGTTCCAGCCCGATTTGTGTTAAAAGGGTTAAATCGATTTTCAGATTTTTTCAAACTTAAAGAGATCAAATGTGGAGTATCAGCTCAGATTCCAAAAGAATGGAGGGAGGCTAGACAGAAATTGTCAACAGTTTATCAAGCAGAGAAATCAAAAGGAAATAAAGTGAAATTTGTCGGTGAAAATTTGTATGTTAACGGTGTAATCTATAAATCTTCCCATATTAGTGCATAGAGGAGTCGAGAGGAGCTAAGTATCTTAAGTTGGAACATAAATGGACTTTCAAGGAAAATTTCGGATTTAGACTTTTTGAATAATATTCAGTCATATGATATCATCATATTATCAGAAACTTGGATCTCAAAAAACACATGTTACAATTTAGACATAAACGGATATAGTGCATTTCATTTATATGGAAACAAATCCCCAAATACTACAAAGGGACGCTATTCAGGTGGCATATCATTGTATTATAAATCAAATTTAAAGGACAAAATTTCTGTTGTCGAAAGTCACCAATGTGGTATTATTTGGACTAAAATATGTAAAACATTATTTCACTTTAATAATGATGTTTTTATTTGTAGTACATATATTCCTCCATATACATCAAATGTTATTAGGCATAATGATGTAAATATTTTTGATTTAATAGAATCAGGTATTGAGAAATACAAATTATTAGGAAAAGTATTTATAAATGGAGATCTTAACTCTAGAACTGCAAACGAGCGCGATTTTATCATTTACGATAGGTTTTTAGATTCAAATTATGACTTAGAAAGCAATGTAAATATACCAGAAAGAAAAAACAAAGATAAAGTTCTTGATATTCATGAAAAACGACTTATAAACCTTTGTAAATCTACAAATATCGTTATAGCAAACGGCAGGTTAAAACATGATAACGGTATTGGGGAATTTACTTTTATTAATAATACTGCAGCAACGGTAATAGATTATGTTCTAGCGAACTACAATGATTTCGAGCATATCTCAAATTTTGAAATTCAGTCACCGAATGAATTTTCTGATCACTGCGCTATTCACTTTTGCTTAAATTGTAAATATTCATTCGAAGCACGTGACCAAATATCGACGCAAGGCGAACCAGTCATTTCATGGGATTATTCGCGCGCAAATGAGTTCTATGACAATATGTTGAGTCATTCAACCGAATTAAATCGTATCACTTTAAATTTAAGCGACAATATTGAATCAGTTGAAGAGTCACTACAATTATTTACTTCACTATTATGGGACAATGCGTTTAGTATATTTGGTAAATATAAGTTACCTAAAAACAAACGGAAAGTTAATTCAAATAAAAATAAATGGTTTAATACCGAATGTCTTCAAGCGCGAAGAGAATTTAATAAATCAAGAAATAAATATTTACGAAACAGGAACTCTGAAAATAAATTAGAGTTTTTAGATAAAAAACGATTATATATACAAATAAAACGTAAACAAAAAATAAAAAATAAACGTTTAGAGGGCAATCGTATTGCAGAGCTCGCTAAAAGTAATCCAAAATCTTTTTGGAGAAACATTAATTTGCAATATAAAAAGATGTCATCTGATCCCGTAAATGTACAGTTTCAAGATTTATTTGAACATTTCAACAAACTATATGGTGAACGACCCGAATCGAATGAAAATAATTTTAATGAAAATGAAAGTCAGGAAAACTATATCCAAGATGAAGATTTGGATATTGAATTCACAGAATCGGAAGTAAGAAACGCAGTTTTTGCCCAGAATAATTCTAAAAGTCCAGGAATGGACAACCTTATAGCAGAAATATTTAAAACATCATTCGAACTTATTTCACCTTTTTTATTAAAACTTTACAATAAAATATTCCAACACGGATATTTTCCAGAAAACTGGACTGAAGGGCTACTTATACCCATATTTAAAGGCGGAAGTCAAGAAGTCAAAAATTTTAGGGGCATCACACTTAATAACATTTTGTCGAAAATTTACTCAAAACTCTTAGTAAGTAGGTTAACTAAATGGGCCAAAAAGCATGAAAAATTAATAGACAATCAATACGGGTTTCAACAGAATAAATCCACTATCGATTGTATTTTTGTACTCTATTCACTTATTGCAAAAACTATATCAAATAAAGAAAAATTGTTCGTTGCTTTTCTCGACTGGGAAAAGATGTTTGATAGAATTGACCATGTACTACTATGGCAAAAACTTTTGAATTCTAATGTAAGTTCTAAATTTATTGTTGCCTTAAGGTCTATGTATACCTCTGTTAAATCTTCCGTTCGTTATAATAATGTCAAGTCAACTCCAATAAATTCATACGTTGGAGTTAAACAGGGAGACCCGTCAAGCAGTTTATTGTGTCTATTTTTCCTTAATGATATTTTGGAAAGTACACGGAATAATTTAGACGGAATAATTAATCTTGGTGATATGCAAATATTTCTATTATTGTTCGAAGATGACGCTGCGATTTTTTCTAAAAACCCTAAAACATTACAATCATTATTAAACGATATAGAATTATACTGTAATAATTACAATTTGAAACTTAATGTTAATAAAACAAAAATAATGATTTTCGAAAACGGTCGTCACACAAATTATGATTTTTACTTATATAACACAAAAATCGAAGTTGTCAAATCCTTTAAATATCTAGGTGTACATCTATTCAAAAACGGACAATGGAATAGAACGCAGGAACGTATAGCACAACATGCGTCTTTCGCTCTTCATAATTTGTTTATTATCTTTAATCAAGTAGATTTACCCGTTTCACAGCAAATAAAATTGTTTGATTCTCTCGTATCATCAACTTTAAATTACGCGGCGGAGGTATGGGGATCACACATCGCACCCGCTGTCGAAGTTATTCATTGTAAATTTTGTAGAAAAGTTTTAGGGACTAAATTATTCACAAACCGAGAAGCGATATATGGCGAAATTCGTCGAACACCTATGTATATTCAACGGAAAATAATTATGATTAAATATTGGATTACTAGTGAGTTATTATCGCTTCAAGAAAGTACTATGCTTTTTAAACATATTCTATGTTAAGAATTGATGCTGACAAAGGACAATCTTATAATGGTAAAAATTGGGCTTACGCTATTAAACTAATATTAGATGAATCTGGATTAATATTTGTATGGGAAAACCAATATAACATACAGGTAGATTTTAAAGCAATTAAATTCAGAATTCTTAGTTTGTATTACGAAAAATGGTATACCTTGATAAATAATTCACCTCGTCTTGATACATACAGTTTATTTAAACATACTTTTGATTTAGAAAAATACTTAAGTGTAATTAAAGAACCAAAGTATAGAATAGCCTTATCTAGATTCAGAACATCGTCACACAATTTAGCTATAGAATATGGAAGATATCGTAATATTCCAAGAAATGAACGTTTTCGTGAAAATTGTCAATTTATTCAAATAGAGAATGAATATCATTTTTTACTTATTTGCCCGAAGTTCTCCGATTTGAGAAAAAAGTATCATAAACGGTATTACTACACATGGCCGACTAAGCAAAAGTTTATCAATTTAATGTCTGAATCATCGTTAACTGTAATTAATGGTTTAAGCAAATTTATATATCATGCTAACACTTTAAGAAATTAATCCTATCAAATGTGATCTGTATTTTATTCATATGATTGTAAGGCTCTTCTGAAAAAATCCATGTACTTGTGTTGTTTGTGTTTATATATTTTGTACTTGCTATAAACATGTATTTGTTTAATGCAATAAAATTTTGAAGTTGAAGTTGAATTTAGGTAATTATGCACGATAAAACTTCCGGAAAATCTGGAGAGAGCAAATTACCTGGAATTTAACACATTCTTATTAAAGACCATTAGCAAATTTTTGAAAAATAATTCAAGTCCTATCATGTCAAAAATACGTAAGTGGAGTTCCCTATATACCTACTGTTTAAGCCAAGATTACATCGCTGTATGCACACATATTTACATCATTATTGAAAAGGAGTAACTATTTAATTAATTTTGCAATGTTCATAATTATAATGATCATTTTATGAAATATCATTTACTTATTTACATTTTCCAAGAATAGTTGAAACGAGAATAAAGCGGTATAAGTACTTTCTGATTTAATTCGATCCTTAATCAATTGAAAATATTTTGAACTTTCACCGTATTATTAATCAGGCATTCTCATACTATTATTTACCAGACATTTATCAGACATTCTGGGAATTATATCGGCGCCAATGCCAAGCGAAAATTGCTCTATGCTTTCAAAGTAACAACGCCGACATCAAAGGATGTCAAATTTCCAAGCTGATAATTGGGTGATTATTTTATGTACTTTTTTTTTATTTCCCACAGTTTAATTTATGTCTTTTCCCTAAGTTAAAGGATTTAGAATCGAGACACATATAAATTATTTACAAATTTTGCTAAGCTCTCTCATAATATTTAAAGTTGTACTGATGCTTGGTAGTTATATTTACGGTAACCTATTTATTACAAGTGTTCAATATTTGAAAATAACCTTAACTGATCTGCATTAGTTTATCAAGTGATTAAGAATTAAATTGATTCGCTTGTTGTATTGTCTTATTAGACAAAATTTTGTTTGTCAATGATAGATCTATATGCTATTTTTTCAATTCTTTTGATAAAAACAGACAAGTGTAGCAATCAATAAAAACTTGCAAAGCAAGATATTAGGATTCAAAATATAAATAATACAAAACTTTTGCTTAATTAAGGTGGCATAGAGGTAACATCAGAAATATTTATCTATCACGTGCGCACGCGATAGCTACTATGTGCGCACGCAATAGCTACTACATGCGAACGCTATAGCCCCTACGTTGGTCAATCATTACGTGCGCACGTAACAATTATCACTCAAGTGCGCACGTTGTAGCTGATACGTGCGCTCGTAGTAGCTATCGCGTACGCACATGGTACATGTATCTATGGGTGCGCACGTTGTAGGTATTGCGTGCGCATACAGAAGATAAAATATTTTTGATGGCCCCTTTATGCCACCGTACATAATATTGTTATTGTTGCAGTTTAAAGTTTATCGTTACTGACAATTATTAATAAAATGAAAGTTTTAGGTATATTTGGTAATGATTTGTGTAATTATTAACAATATCTTAACTTCTATTTAACTGAAAATGTATAATATTTTGTTTAAATTTATCTTAATTCAATATTTAGGCCTTTGATACAATTTTCATATAATCATAGCAAAAACTGTCTGAAATATTAATAATTATTCAAACTGTCTTAGGAATTATAATCTCAAGCAAAACAAAACTTTAAGATAAAATAACTCCAATATTTACACAAAAAACCCTTTTTTAGGCTAAAAAGAGGGACTGATTGGACAATCCCTTTTTATTTTGGAACGAGATGTTAGTAACGTTGTTTTTTTCTTCTTTCATTTTCAATCTTTATAAGACAGGCCTGAACAAACTTTTGTTTATTGATCGGACATGTATTGCACTTCAAAGAATTACTTGTAATGCAATCAAGTTTTCATCATGTGAATATGAGTATATAACTTGTGAGTGTTGTTCTCTGAAACTAAACAGATAAAAAAAATCAGAGTTAATTACTTACACTTCGTTAATCATTCATTAGATAAATATTTTTCGACATCACTACATCGAAACGTACACATTTTACGCATTGGTCTATGTCCTGATTTCAAATTTAAACTTTGTTTGTGTTTTGTCCCAGTGAAACGAAAGTCAAATTTATTAATTGTCCA